TGCGGAACTCTTGGTAGAGACCGTACTCTCACTTTCCACTGACTTCGCCTTTGACGTCCAGTTGTTCCGGCCGAGCTGTGTGCTACTCGAGAGAATGGACACCATGGTTCAAAATGAACCTTGAACCACACTGGCTCCACATTTATGTCGAGGTTCCAAGACCCGGAGTGTCAAAACACGTCTGCATCGTATTGATCTTAGGCGCCAAAATCACGAGAACCTGGATCCCAGAATCGAAGCATTTACAAAACAGAGCCGCAGCAAGCAACAGCAACAGAGCAAGAGCAATCAGACGGAACTCTACCAAACGTCGTCGTCAAACCAAGAAACATATGCCTCAAAACAAAGAATCACGAATCCGAGTTGCAGGCATCTCAGGTCAGATAATACAAGAGGCACAGTATTTACAACAGGGTGTTGGGATTTATACCATAAACATGCACGGACTACAAGGGAAAAGTAATACTAGGTACTAACTCTTTAGGCCCTGTATAGCACCCGTAGCCTTGCATCTACTTTTCGCGAGAACTTGGAGGTTTGCTTACTTTCAGGATTGAGCGGGTTAGAGTGAAACGCCAAAGTAGCGTAACATGTAGTCTTTATAGTCATGGCCCAAGGGCTCTTCACGAAACTAAAACACCCACATACCCTAGCCGAAAGCCTGTGCTTTTAGGAATCTCTGGCCTTGAAGCTGGAAGAGTTTCTGCTTCCAGCAAAGATCTATATAGGGCCGAGAGCTTCAGGTTCTTGTGTTGAACTACCAGATACATGGTCTCACTGAGAGCCTCGTATGGAATCTGTCCTTAGGTCGGGTAGTTTCAGGAGTGATTTCTAGTTATAGGGCTGGTTTACTCAGTCCCGGCTTTGTTTTAGAGTTTCGGAACTTGGGCGAGCGGCTCGGCCTGCGAGTACAGCCGTTTCCTAAACAAGACCGTCGGAAAACCTCACCGAGTGAGACTTACAAAACAGCCCTCCGACCAAAAAGTGACCAAGGCTTCCGGTGAAGTCAACAACAACAGTATCAGTTCCAAGAGGGCGTAACAGCACATTTAACAAAACCGTTCAAAACCAACCACTACAGGGCTTGCAGGTGTGTGCGCAAGGCCTGAGCGGCCTCATCTAGTGCTGACAGAAGGCTTCAGGATGCGAATGGCCGCTCCGGCCGGAAAGCCGTGAGCCACCTTCGGTTCGGGAAAGCTTCTGAGTTCAGGGTCAGCGTTTAGGGTTTAAGGTGTTGCGACATCGAGATCGGTTTTGTTACTCTTGGTGGTACTGCTGCTCCTAGTCTAACCCCTGTGCTTTTGGCCGCGAGTGTTCTTACATTATAGGATGAAACCGGTGCTGTTTATCACATTTTGGGTCACCATGATGATTACTTTGGCACGATGGTGCCACTGACGCGCTTGCTTTGCAGACTTCCTGGTCAGATCCTACCAAACCCTGCGAAGATACTGCACAGCAAAATTCTGCTAGCACATGGGTGGTTGTCAAAATTACGGCCCCTTGTTGGGTCCCTAATATAGTACGGCACCTAATATTTAGGGTACCCCAAAAAGGGACCCTAATTTTGACAACTACCCACATGTGAGGGCACGCCTCTGTGCAGCGTCGCAGAAGAAGCTCAAGCACCTGGGAAAAAGACAAGGCTTGAGTGTTCAGGGTTTGGGGTTTAGGGTTTCTGATAGTTTCCAGGAAACTGCAGTGCAGCCCTTGCAAAGTTCTGTACAACAGCCTTCTTGAACATATTGCCGGTGATGATCAGGAAAATCTGCACTCGAAAGATATAGGAGGATAGACTGTTCAGCATCCTCCAAGAATCATTCACCCCTGCCATTTGCTAAGATGTTGATAGCAATCTGCCAAGAGTCTTTTCAGAGAGGTGTCGGAGGTGATGTGAACTTGTCAGAACTGCCGTTGCCCTCTTCATGCCGCTAGCAAGCTACGGCTTGCAAAGTTCGGCCAGCGTGCTGTACCCAGTGCGGTTATGAAGGCTTCGAGATATCCACCTTCGAGGTGCCAAACCTTGCGGATGCACCTTCGTGATCTGCTTGAGCAGAAGCCGATCCCCAACAAAATTATGTCAGCATTCCCAAAGAGTGAAAGAGCACCACGACGACCATGACGAGATCGCCAGAGACCTCGGGGGGCACCCAGAGACCACCACGAGACCACCGAAGGAGCACCAGGAAACGACCAGGACACGGCCAAACAGCTTCTCGAGTACTGGCGAGATTCAGGAGCATCGCCAAAAAGCTTACTCCAAGTACTGGCGGGATTCAATTTTTTGGAGGCCATATTGGGATTGACGGAGAATGTGGCCTCTTGAAGACTTGTGTCTACGACGAGCTATATAGTGTAAAATGTAGATCGTGAGCGCAGAACGCGCACCCTGCCACAGCCGGTCCAAACCCTCCCGCAAACTGCCAGAACCAATAAGCTGGGATATGTCAGCATTAGAAAAAAAGTTTCCTAAGCGAATCTGCAACATTGGTGCTCATAACCCCCGGCAAAACCTTGAACGCTCTCCCGGTTCGGCAAGTGGGGAGACGAGTAGGTACCCCTTCAGTTCACCCCCCTGCAGCTGTTAGGGCTCAGAGTTGAAGGCTTAGGGCTGAAATTCTACGTATGGTTTAGCTGTTTAGTTTGCTAGTGTGTGTGTGTGTGCACACACCCTAGGAAGGACCTCCCGTGTTATACTACTACCTCGAACATCAGTGATCTAGTTAATCTAGTTGTTGGTCACGGTCTGTCGTACTTGTTTTGGTGCCGCAAAAGAATCTTCCTAGGGGCCCTGCGAAGAAGTAGGGTAAGGTATGCTTTCAAGCAGGTACTTAAATCAGGTCACCTCATCTCCCGGCTCTCTCCAGCTCCCCACCTCGCGCTCACGCAGCACCGCGGCCGTCTCCACGACAGCACACAACGCTTCCGTTGAGAGCTCCTCACAACTCTCTAGCCTAGACCCCTTAACTAATTCTAAAGCCCTGCAGCAACCTGACATCTTGAACCCTAAACAGCCGCCACCCTCAACCCAGAAAACCCTCAGGCCTTGAAATCCACACTGTCGTAACCCGTAAACTCTGAGCCCCTGAACTGAAACTCTGAATTCTAAAGCCCCCAAAAACCCGCCGCAACCCTGAACCCCGTTCTTCCTGCATTGTACTTGAACTCTAAGATCTCCATGCCCTAACCGACTTATGTCACAAAAACAAGCCTGTCCTCGCCAACGGCCGCAAGCCTGCTAATGGTCTGCTCCGCAACGTGCCAGTTCTAATTGAGTTTAAGTTTAAGGTAGGGATACTTTGCTATTTAGGGACCCTGCTGTCAATAAAAGGTCCAGTCTCTCTGAAGCTTCTACACAGCGGGGCGATTCTGGAACAACCCGCATACAGGAATTCCCGACAAGGGGTCGCTTAATGGTACACTCTCGGTAGTCGCTTCAACAGTACCTGCAGGCAGTGTCTCCCGAGTTCCTCCTAACGGCAAATATTCAGAAATTCAACTTTCCCACACAAACCCTTCATCATAGAGCGAAGAGCCCGAACCGTTCACAGGATGCAGGATATCGGCGGGTTTAGGGCCCGGGTCCATGAGGGAATACCTCCTATAGAAAACTTAAATTACAAAGCATCACCACACCTGTGTTTTTGGGATTGTACTTTGGAGCTTAAGGCTTGTTAGGCACTTCAGGGTGGCTGGCGGGTTTTGGGGCTGAGGAAGCCAGAAAACCGGCCTCTCCATTCCAGGAATGAGGGTTGTTCAGGCTCCTATAGCTAATTTGCAGTCCATAATTACAGTAAACTGTAAAGTCAGACGTCCGAGATCAGGAAATTTCGAGCGCTTGCAATTGCAGAGTCAAGCGTTAATTAAACACTGGAGCCCGGGTGCCGGACTGACGAGTGTATCACGGTGGTTGTGGTTGTGGTGGTGCGGTTGGCAAAAGGTGACGGACTGCTGCTATGACTCAGGACACCTCTGCCCCGTAAGACCGTGATGGTCTCATTCTACGGTTTGACATTGCTATGACTGGCGGTGCAAGTGCGTGAACAGCTATCTTCGAATGTCTCTGCATTCCTCATGCGAGAAAAGGCACAGTGGTCCTGAGGCCGTGATTACTAGAATGTACAACCGTTATAGATATAGACATGACAGTGAAGCCCCTCAACCACAAATCCCTGCAGCTTCGACATGCACAACAAGTTCTAGACCGCGGCCTTGCAGACGTAAGCCCTGAACCTGAGCCTCGTAACGCGGCACAGTAGCCAAACCGTGCCAAACCCAATCCCGCCGTGTCCTGGCCTCGGCAGCGCATCCACAACCAGGCCGGCCTCTGCCAAATGCACATACGCGTGACAATCCTCAGAAGAATCATCTTCATTGCTAGCCAGAATAGGTAGTGCACTTGCTGGAAGTCACTGTTGCACCATGAATCTCAAGACTACAGAAATATGCGGGCCTTGAATAGGGTTTTGGTGCCTATGATGCTATCATTATATAAGGAACCCCCCAAAAAAATAGTATTGGCATTTCGGCCCCTACGGTACAGCATCACGTTTGACCCTTCGACTCTCTGTTCACGCCACTGGGGTTCGTTTGCCGATCCGGAGCAGGTCCAGCTCATCTCTTTCTCTAAACTCCGTTACATTATATTATGTGTTATGTTAAACTAGATTATATATTTCATCAAATTAAGCTATATTATGCATTATACTAAACTAAAACCATATTATAGTATAGTATTATATTCGTTGTATAATACATAGGTTTTGTGGGGAGTTCTGGCAAATTGGGAGGGGGGGGCCATTGATTGGAATCCCGTCGATGACAAAGGGAGTGTGGACTTCCTGTGAAGGATACACTTGGGAGTTTCCGAAAAATTAGGGGTACCTTATTTTGGGGTCCTTACAAATTATAATAGGGATCCTACTATTCAGGGTACTATATTAGGGTCCCCCATTTTCGGAAACTCCTACTTAGGGACGGGCTTGGAGGTGCGTAGACCGCCGAAGCCGGGAGTAGTTGAGACCATCTGCTAGTACTTCTACCGCCCTCCGACCCCTGAAGACATAGAAGTTTAATATATTTTAGAGCTTTAGGGTTTAGGAAGTTTAGGGCTTAGGGGCTCCACTCCCCGATAATCTGATGCAGCCAGCAACTGCAACCGAAACCGTGTGCTGCATCCTGAGCCTGCCTGCACCCTAGACCCAGCCCTTATCTTCGGCTGAACCATCCAGATGAACCTTTCATTCCTGGCAAAAGGGGTTCCTATAAGAGCTTCGCAACCGATTTGTCGGGATCTCATAGTGGCTTCAGAAGAAAGCGGAACAGAGATTCTTCGAGAAGCAACGCTTGGGAAACCCGCACCGCAAGAGCGCACGTCCCTGCCTGAGACTGACCCAACCGAACCAAGCAGAGCGCTAGGGAGCTGAGCTGTGTTGGGGAGAGCCGATCTTCTGACCTCCGCCACAAGGGCTTCGGGGTTCCGGAGTTAAGCGCGTAGCGGGCGTCGGGCTCTAAGGGTTGGGAGTAAAACATTAAGGGAACACAGTGGGGACATCCTAGGTGGTTCAGAAGAGGACATAGTGAGAACCTGTCGCGTCTTTTGTGAGCTTCATGGCTTTACGGTTTTGGGTTGATGCAAGGGTTCTGGACTGAAAGGTGCTGAGGATGCTTTGGAAAGTTGCGGGGGGGGGGGTAAGCTTTACATGTCGGAGCTCGAGCCGCCGTCGTCCTAGCCGATCACACTACTGCTTGCTGTCAAAGCGCAAGCCCGGTCTGCCTGGTTGCCGGTCAACTATCCGCTGCTTTGTGCGGTGTATCTTAAGGCTCGGTCAGAATTAAGGGGGCCCTACAAAAACACCCAAAGCTCTGAAGCCCCAAAACATCGAGCTCTACACGCTGAAACCTGAAGCCTCATCCGGAGCCTTGCAACCGCCGCCAAGGAGATCGCTAGCTCCTCCAGGCAGTGTTGCGGAGCCTGCGCCATCCTTGGGACAGTCCGAAAAGGTAGGCTTTCAGCGAATGCCGGCTTCAGGGTGTTTTCGGTGTTAAGCCATACAGCCCTAGAAGGCAAGGGAACACGACAAGGATAAGAGCACACCACTGACCAAGCCCGAGATCCCCTAATTTGGGGCCATATAAGGGTACTTCATAGGAACCCCCATTAAGGGATCGTTAGGCATGATGCAGGGCCAGGGCCCAGATCGCAAGCGCATCAATGCTGCCCCGGGGCGCTGCAGTGGCGAGGCAAAGGGCCCTGACACTGGTCTACCTATAGTCTCCATTGTAGCTCCTTCTTTGGGTTACCTTATAGGATCCTAACTATAGAATTGGTCTAACCAAAAAAGGAACTACAATGGAGACTATAGGTAGAGTCTGAGAGTTTCGTCGAGTCTAGGACTCATGAGGATCAGGCTTTAAGAGAACCGCAGAGAATCGGAAGGAAAGGTGTTGCAGTCTCCTCCTGGAAGTATGGCGTTCACCCAGAGCTTGGTGCTAGTCAGCTTTTATCTCTGATATCTGGCATCTCTCGCCTCCTTGCCCTGTTAGCTCTGAGACTCTCCTTGCTTGGCTCAAGGCGTAGCGAAACCCTAAACCCTAGATCCCTAAACCGTCTCTCGCCCGGTCTGTCCCCTCTCTTGCTTGCTTGGCGTGGATCTGACAGGCTCACCTGCCACTTTTCATCACCGTGGGGAAAACACCTGGAGTAGCGGAAATTCGATGCACTGAATCGGAAAAGGATGGCAAAGGCGAAAATTCAGACAGGACCTTGGACCTGAGACAGCCACGTTTAAAACCACGCATTCTCGTGATGCTCCATCAATCGAAACCACTGGGCTGCCGCAGGTGGTTACCAAAGGTCACCCTGTCCACGTTGGCCTAGGCAGCCACCTATTGCATCCAGGCCTCCTTCGCCATTCGGCGAAATCGCCGGACTGACACGATCTCTAAGTCCCCACCTAGCAATGCTTCGATCTCTGAGGGCGAGTTCGTTTTGTTCGACTTCTTCGCAATATCAAGCGCTGTGCGACCTGCGGAAGTCTTCTGGTGTGGATCAGCCATTGCGGTCAGCAGGCGACGGACAAGCTGGGCATCTCCGTGCTTGGCAGCGAAGTGGATGGGATAAATCACCTCTGACCTGCAAAAGAAAAGCCTCCTACTGCCACTCTCCCGTGGGCAGTTGACTCCACCAGCGAAACCACACTCTGCCAGTAGGTTCTGGAGGTCCTCCTCGGCCTGCAGCTTATTTCGCACACGCCTCAAGCTGCTGTCAACTGACTGCGGGCGATTTAAGCTTTCCAGCGAAACTGTGGTTGATGCGGAACTCTTGGTAGAGACCGTACCTTCGCTTACCAAGTACGTCCCATTTGCTGCCCGGATCTGTCGGCCGAACTCCAGTCCTTTCAGGAGTTTGAATGCCATGGCTAACACTTGATGCCATGCTTTGCCATCTCGGGGCCGCAGCTTGAGCAACGCTTCAGCTGCGCGAGCGCTGAGCAAGTTGAGCATGTGATTCTTCGCCCAGGTCAGCAGCCAAAAATCGAAACCAAGACTTGCTAAGCGTGGACTTTAGTTATACCCGACAACCTCAGTCTGGAGACTGTCAGACCTGAGTTTGCTTCCGTACCCCGAAAGCTAGATAGCACCAGCACTAACACATCATACATGCAATATGACATGGAAGAACATCACTGGACAAACGAAAGCGTGAAACCGCTGTATGTAAAGCACCTGCTGTTTAGGGTTAACGGTTTAGGTTTCAGTTTGAAGGTTTAGGTTTCAGGGTTTAGGGAAGCCATGTAATGTGCATCATTCTGATTTAGCCATGCAATGTCACTCTGATTTAGATAGGCCTGCTAGTAGTAGCGGCACTACATCGCAGTAGGAGTACTTGTAGCAGCAGTATTAGTAGTGCTAGCAACGCGAACAGTATCAGTAGCATCATCAGTGCAGCAGTAGGCGTAGTACACATAGGAGCTGGGGCTGGTACTAGCGTAGTACCAGTACTAGTAGGAGTAGTAGGAGTAGTAGGAGTAGTAGGAGTAGTAGGAGTAGTAGGAGTAGGAGTAGTAGTAGTAGTAGTAGTAGTAGTAGTAGTAGTAGTAGTAGTAGTAGTGGTAGTGGTAGTGGTAGTGGTAGTGGTAGCAGCAGTAGCAGTAGTAGCAGTAGTAGCAGTAGCATTAGCAGTACAAGTAGGAGTAGGAGTAGGTGTAGTAGCTGTAGTTGTAGTTGCAGCTGTAGTAGTAGTAGTAGTAGTAGTAGTAGTAGTAGTAGTAGTAGTAGTAGTAGTAGTAGTAGTAGTAGTAGTAGTAGTAGTAGTAGTAGTAGTAGTAGTAGTAGTAGTAGTAGTAGTAGTAGTAGTAGTAGTAGTAGTAGCATTGGCAGTAGCAGTAGGAGTAGGAGTAGTAGTTGTAGTTATAGTAGCAGGAGTAGGAGTAGGAGTAGTAGTAGTAGTAGCAACAGCAATAGTAGTAATAGTAGTAATAGTAGTAGTAGTAATGCTATTATTATTATTAGTAGAAGTAGTAGTAGTAGTAGTAGTAGTAGTAGTAGTAGTAGTAGTAGTAGGAGTGGTAGTGGTGGCAGTGGTGGCAGTGGTGGGAGTGGTGGGAGTGGTGGAAGTGGTGGTAGTGGTGGTAGTGGTGCTAGTGGTGCTGGTGGTAGTGGTGGTCGTTGGTGGTAGTGGTGGTGGTGGTGGTAGTGGTGGTAGTGGTGGTAGTGGTGGTAGTGGTGGTAGTGGTGGTAGTGGTGGAAGTGGTAGCAATCGCTGTGGTTGCAGTGAAGGCTGGTAGTAGTGGTAGGTAGTGATGATAGTAGTGGTGGTGGTCGTGATCGTGGTCGTGGTTGCAGCCGTCCTAGCAAGAGGAGGTGGAAGAGGAGGAGGAGCCATTAGTAGCAGTGGTAGCAGCAGAAGCAGTGGGGTAGGTACTCTGTAGTGGTCGTTGCAGTCGTCGTAGTAATTAGGCGCAGTAGTGCTAGTCGTCGTGGCGGAGGCCGCTTTCGCCATTGCCGTCCCTGGCTTGCAGGCCCCCCGAGGCAACCTGGACGACAATCGCTTCCCATCTGCACGAGCACGGAGTACTTGCCGAAGGCCGGTGAAGTCGACCTCCGGCTTCTTGCTTTCGGAGTCAAGGGCTCAGGGTTAGGGCAAAGACCAGTCAGGAGCATGGCTCCTGGCATGACCGACCCGCTTATGGTGAGTTTTTGTTGTCAATGCCGGAAGGCACCCAAGCCCAAGGACGTTTGATGAGGGCCTCGATACCGTCCCGAGCAAAGTTGCTCAGCAGCTGCGCTGCGTGCGCCAGCTCCATGTCGCTGAGCTCCTGAGCAATTGTCTTGCTAAGTCCGTCGGCTTGGGGCTTCGGACCGATTATCAGTTGGTATATGGCATGTCCCAATTTCGCTGTGGTCTCGGGTGCGGCCAAATCGAGAGGACGAGAGGAGTGAAGCGGTTTCAGCTGCTTGTTTCGATCAAACTGAGATGTGCTTAAGGTTCCCTTCGTTGCGGAAGGGGCTACAACTGCAAAGACATCCGATGGATCCCTAGCAACTTTAGCAGGAAGTCTATCTTACCCAGTCGCTTCCCCAGTATCACCATCGCAAGGAGTTCCGATTTCAAAACTGCTTAAGGGGAAGCCCATCTCGATGAATGAATATAGCCGCTTTATTGAGAAATAGCAGGCCCCGGGGCACTTTGTGTGGAGTTGAGTTTGTGTCGGGAGCCTGATGATTCTTCAGTGACTCGTGCTCTGAAACCATATCCAAAATGCACGGTGACAAGCCAAGTCTGAACCCTAACCCGACACCCCAATCCCCGGTTTAGGGTTTAGGGTTTTGGGTTTTGGGTTTAGGGTTTAGGGTTTTGGGTTTAGGGTTTAGGGTACGCCAAAAACCCCAAAATCAAAACGCTCGGGGCCTGACATGCTCGGAAACAGGTTGCAACCCCCGGTAATTTCAGACTTGATCCCAGATTTAGGGTGTATGATGTGTGCTTTGGCTTGGTTTCTTTTAGGCATTCAGAACTGCTTGGACCCCTGATTACGATTTCCCGAACCGGAACGACCCAAACCCTTGCACCCTAAACTAAAGTAATTGCCGGAGAGCATGTAAGGCTTCGACCCTGTATTTCTCAATGCCCAATGCAATGCCGTAAGCCCCCTAAGCCCAGCCCTGGAAACCCTAAATCTGCGCCCTTCCTAAGGACCTGATTTTCATTTCCGACCAGTGGGATCTTTCGCAAGCACTAATAAGATTACAGGCTGCCCAACAAGAACCCGCACACACTGCATCAAGTCAACTCTAAGCACCAAATCCTTGCCTGCCATTCCCCCGAAAGCTGCTCCAGCGAAATCTGCACGATGCGACTGCGTGGTCGAGCATGGTTGGTGCAAGAGTTTGGGAGGTTGCGGGTTCTGGCGTTGGTTCTGGGTTTGCTGTAGGGCTTAGGGCCATGAGCTGTATAAAGGGTTTAAGTTCTTCGGGCCTTGGGTGGCCTTCGGGTTTCAGAGCCGCGGGATTTTGCGACTGAATGGCTGCTAGGTTTCGATGTTCTGGATTCTTGCAAAACTCTACATCATAAGCACAGCTATGCGTTCCGCGAGCAAGCAACAAGATGCGGAAGACTGACCATCGGAGGATTGAACTAAACGGTCTTCCAGGACGTCTAGAAGGCGCTATTTTGGCGTGGGGGGGCCCCCGTCCCATCTCGCAGAATCTCAAGAACACCAAGCACACGGCCACGACACCACACTCCACCCATCCCGGTAGCCGACTCATCCCTCGAGTCCGGAATCGTTCTGGGTTAAGGGTTCCTGAGGCCCTTAACGTAATAAAACATAGGATTAATAAAATGTAAAATGATATCAAATACTATTAATACTTGATATCATTAATATATAGATAATATCAATAATATTTGATATTTAGTTTACATAATGAAATACTTAACACAATGTAACAGACTCGTGGCCCGAAGTCCTCAAGCCCCGAATTCTCTCCTGACGCAGCAGCTCCAGGTCGAGGGATGTTTTGACTATTCTTCCAGGAGCATGGGGGCCTTAATAATTAGAATAGGTTTTGGGGCCCATTATGCTATAGTTAGAATAAGGAACCCCAAAATGAGATACGGTATAAGTAGTTAATGAGGTCCCTATAATAAGTATGGAAGGCAATGTAAGGGAAGGGGATTCCCACAGCCCGAAGTCCCAAGAGTAAACGGCCCGGATTGCTATCTCAGATCCTGCATCTGACAGACTACCTGCAAGCGGCCGAAACCCAGAACGTGAAATACCAAAACCTGCAATGCTAGACCATAAACTAGATGCTCTCTTGGGTTTTACATGGGTAGTTGTCAAAATCAGGGTCCCTTTCTGGGTACCCTAAATGTTAGGTGCCGTATTATAATATGGACCCAAAAAGGAACCCTAATTTTGACAACCACCCATATGACCATAGTAGAACCTAAGTCAAGGATCCGACCTGACTGCCGCCACGCCCGGCAATCGGGCGACCGACGCCTCGTCTTCGGCACATGATTTGGGATTTAGGCTTTACGTTTCAACATGCAGCATTTCTGGCTAAGGCTTGCTGGGGGACTCATCGCTTAATGTGGGTTTAAGACTTAGGAGTTTAAGGTCTCGAAGATCTGCTGCTAGAGCGGAACACAGTTTCACCCAGTACGGATTTAGCAAAGCAAGCCTTCGGGACTGAGACAGCATGTAAGGCGTAGTGTCCTTAAAGCTGCTTCTGACCATGGCTCGGGGTGACCTGCAACAGCACTGCTGGCTGTGTGAACAGGTGTCATCGAGGTCGGTAGGCACAGGCGGACGGCCCTTATTCATTTTGAGAAGAAAGCTAACACGAGTAATAGTACTGATGTGCATAATCATAATCAGGCAAGCGAAAAGTGATAAGAGTACAAGCTTTTACATCTTTTACTTTTGCTGATGATAGCTTCTTCGGTCTCGGGTGAGGGACTTGGAGCTGTAGGCGTTAAGGTCGTTAAGGCCGGCAGCCAGCAAGGTGCGCAGTCATGGGTTCATCATTGGTTGTTTCTTCCTTCCTTACTTCCTGCATTCATTCATTCATTCACTCACTCATTCATTCACTTGTTCGGACGGTCTTATTCTGTCCGAATGTGTAATTACACACACAAGCATGCACATTCACGAAACCCAGGCTCCCGACATTTCCAGCGCTCAGCCGCGCCAAACATGACACCAGGAGGTAGGCCTGCACTTCAGACTAGGGGCATTCATTGAGTTGAGGCTACATCTTCTGCTTTTATCTTAGAGACGCCCGTAAAAGTGGCTGTCTAAACACACATGTTTAACCCGAAAGACTTAAAGAGCTGAAAAACAAGTCTGCAAAAAGCCGTAAACGTCCAATAAGAGCTATACAAGACCTGGCGTGAGATCTGGAGCCTCGTTGGCGCTGAAGCCGAAGAGGCGGCTCTCCACCTACGACACAGTCTAGCAATTTGGGGTTTAGTGATAGTTACAACAACAGGGAAGCCCTAAGGAATAGTATTGGAACCTATACAGCCCTAAAACCTAAACGCTCTGAACCAGCAAGGGAAGATTTCGCCCCACTTCACCTGTTCTGACTTTGGACAAAGATTTGGGGGGGTATATTGTAGTAGAAAGCTATACAAGGACTACACCAGGATACTACTACTACTACTACTACTACTACTACTACTACTACTACTACTACTACTACCACTACTGCTACCACTCCCACTCCCACTCCCACTACCACTACCACTACCACTACCACTACCACTACCACTACCAGACTACCACTACTACTACTACTACTACTACTACTACTACTACTACTACTACTACTACTACTGCCGAAACCAAAACTTTTGGATTCTGAAGTGAAATCACCATAAACAATTACGGCCCCAAGTTGAAAGGCGTCTTTAGGAATTCTCAATCCAAAGAAGTTACCATTCCTGCTTGCATGAGTCGTGCATCAGTCGTCTTCTTAGTTCCGTGTCGAGCGTCTGAATCTTGATCTGTGGACACTGAAGATTTTATATGGACCGGGGATGGGCTGCCCACCCCATGGCTTTGCTTCAACCCGCCGCACCTGGCATACGCCTAAGATACCTATGCCAGGGGTAGTGCCGGAGCATTCGGGGGACGATGATACTCCAACCTCGGCCCGAAGGCCCGAAATGGCTAGCAAAGCTCAAGACGCCAAAGCCCCCCGAAAAGGACTTCGTGAGAGAACCAAACATCCTTGAAGACGCAGGCCCCGAATTGACCCTCAAAGCGCCTGCACCTTAAACCTAGGCCCTACACCCTACACCCTAATGTAGGGGCCTTAACAATTATTGAATAGGGTTTTGGGGCCCGTTATACTATATTTATAAACAGGAACCCCAAAATAGTATTGGTAATCATTAAGGCTCCTTCCTATATCACACCCTAAACCCCTTGATCTGACTGCAGAGCCCCGGCTCGCTGGAGCAGCGCCACGAAGTCGGGGCTCTCCAGAAGATCCTCCTCCTGGTAGGGTTTAGGGTTTAGGGTTTTGCGATGGGGTGGCTCTTGGGAGATGTATGCTTATAACGGTTCTCATTGCCATGATTATCAAACTAAGACTCTTACTATCTTTTAATGTTGATGGTACTATGGTGTTAGTTATTGTTGTCACTGTTTGTGATTTTCCTTCTTTGCTGAGGGTGGATTTAAGGTTTAGGCGGCTTGGTCCAAAGAGGCTGGGTATTTCAAGAGTTCCAAACGGAATCCGGATCAGACAAAAAAAGGGGCCAGTTCAACAATTTCTCCAGTTATTACTTCTCCTCCTACCGTTCCTACACCCACGAACCCATTCCCCACAAGGAAGTTTTGAAGCTGATGCCAATCAAAGTGAGGCAATTTGGTGGCACTGAGCAACTGCCACCTGCAGCGGTTCTCAAGACGATACGTCTACTATACTATAGTAAATTATAGTATAGTTTACTATAGTATATGATACGTATACTATACTACAGCATATTATAGTATAATTTACTAGAGTATATGATAGTATACTATACTATAGTATACTATACTTACGAAGATCAGGCCGAGCAAATGGCCATGATTATCAACGGCGAAGAGTATCGTCGACGGTTCCACTAAGAATCCAGCCATCTGTGATGCCATCAGCCTTAAGCCAAAACCCCTTCAGCCGGAATTCGCCTTCTTCTCTGTGATCGCAGTGCTGGTGACTTCAGCCAGGCTTGCGATGCACTGGCAGGGCGATGTGTGTGTGTGTGTGTGAGGAAGAGAGAGAGAGAGAGAGAGAGAGAGAGAGAGAGAGAGAGAGTCACAGAGTCAGAGAGTCAGAGAGTCAGAGACACACAGAGGCAGAGAGACAGAACCATGAGAGAAACGATTCAGGCTTTGAACTTTCAGTGGCTTCGTGGTTGCGTGCGAGTCCAGAGTATATGCCGTTTTCGAATCGCAAGCTCGTTCACAACAAGTCATGAAACACTAAGCTGAACGCGGAACTCTAAGCCGCTGAAACTTGCAAACACAAACTGATCAAAGTCTGAATGGCCAACTTGCAGCCACTCCAGCGACAAGAAGTGTCTGCCTACGCTGCGGTATTCACCTGCATGCTGCCGAGAATTGTCCTATGGAGAGACTATGCATGACTGCAGCATGAGTTGTGACCGTAAATGTAAGCCAAATCCATGCCAACACTGCCAACAAGCAGCGACGTGCTCGTACAAAGATAACAGTGGTTATGAAGATGTTTAAGGTGGTGATGATGGTGATGGTAAGTCATGATGATGATGCTGTTGCTTCCAACTTCCAATTCCGTATACCCCCTAAGCCCCGTCAAAGCTACATTACCCGTGGTTGCCTCAACCCAACCGTTAACTACATGAGCATCAAGCGAAATTTTGCAACAGCCAGCTCCGACTGAGGCCTTTCCGGGCGGCAGCGATGGCAGCGCCGTGCTGGCTGCGAGGAGTTCTCTCACTGTGGGCCGATCCACCGCTGAGGGCACGCTGAGCCTGGATCTAGCTGTAAATGTGGATATCATACGAACGGGAACCGCGATAGTGATGGTAATCACGACCTCCAGATAGCACATGATAATGTAATGCTCACAAGCACTACAGTCAAAACGTCAAGTGAGTATAGCACTTACTGCACGTGTCTCCTCGAGTTCAGGAGCCCCAATGGCTAGAGATCGGGGTGTGCTGGCACAGGGTCGCAGGCCAAGCGCTTGCTACTCAATGGAGTGTCTATAACGGTGCTGAAACCCGGAGAACCCTACATCAAACCCAAAACTCCCAACAGCTTTTGGCTGGGATCTCAGGGACACCTGGCGTCAGATTAGTATGTCTTTCCCGAGTTCAGGTGTATAGGGCCAGGGCAAGCTTCGAGTTCACGCTTTGACCTGCGTTTCAGGGTGACTCGTGCTTCCTCTGCCTTCCGGGCCGTTGCTAACACAGAGGTCTTGAAACTTACAGGATTCAGGAAAAATCGAATTACACGGACACAGGGGCTCCTCCGCCGGACACTCGTTGTAGACAGGTCACTTGCTCGCAGTAGCAAACGTTCTGCGCAGCGTCCTGGAGTGCTGATTGGGTCGTGCAGACCTGCAGCTCTCTGATATATATATATATATATATACACATATGTATATATATATATATATATACACATGCAATTTTGACATGTATATCTGTCGATTTATCTACCTATCTCGGACATTTTCTGAATATTGATTTTTCAAAACTTGGGAATGCTCTGAATTGTCTGATTTGGGATCCTGTTGGAATCGTGAAGGTTTCATGTAGCGGGGGTTAGCATGTATAGATAAGTACGTATACGTACATGCATAACTAAAACTGCTGAGAACAAAGGCGATTATGATGGTGATGACGGTGACAGTGATAAAAGTCATGCTGCTGATGATGATAAAGACGATGCCGACAAGGATGCCGAGCATGCTGGTGATGATACAGCTGATGGCATCATGATCAAGACACGTTGACATCAATCAATATAACGGTAGTGATGACCGAGCGTACAGTAACGGTGTATTACATTGAAACAGTGCCCCTTCTGTGCTAGTCGTGTTTTCCAGGGCTAAGACCTTCCTGGCTCCTAAGCCTGCCCGGGATCCCCTTGAAATAGAACAACCCCCCCCCCCCCCCAAAGGCCACAAACTGCCAGATGCCCATTCCCACATAAAGTTTTCAAGCTCCTGCGCGCTGCGCTTCAAACCCGAAAGCCCTTAAACAATCCTAAACCCTAAACCTAAACCCTGATCCTGAACCCTAAACCCTAAACCCTAAACCCTAAACCCCCCAACGTGGGACAACCGGGGGCTGAAAGCCAGCAGCTTCTTTGGGGTTAGCGACTGCAGCCCGGAACCCTCAATGTCCTGAACAGGAATCCTTATAATTAATATGCAAAAAATCTACTAGACCACCCACAAAACCCTATTCTAATTGATAAGCCCCTCTGTTGTACCCATGTAGCAGCCCTTATAGTAATTAACCCTTATAGAACCTTTCGAGCCCTTGAAGAGACCACCACGAGTTCGGGTCCTCAGAGCCTCCCCTCTGCGGGAGCCTCGCGGCACTAAAATTCGGTTTTGTAGGGGATGGGTTCCCTGTTTCTGCGCGAGGGGGCTTAGGCTGTAAGTTCAACTGAGGGCTTAGGATCTAGGACTCAGGGCGTGGAGCTTGATTTTGTGGGCTGCGCTTCTGCTCGGAACGCCGTGGCGACTTCCTCATGTGCCGTCATCAACCGACTTGTCCAGTATCCTTGGGCACTAACGGTTGTTGATATCTGGGAGTATATTGGGATGATAAAGGTTAATTACCTCCTCTACTATTAGGTCACTACAGCATCTGACACCTCGTTCGGGTGTAGGCTGTACATTGCATGGGGTAAGGGTTGCGGGCATACCGTCCACGTGTGCAGCAAAGTGCTCATGCCAGGATTCGTGCGGGTAGCTTCGGTATGCCGTGGAAGAGTGCGCAAGATGCGAAAGCGTGCTCCCGGTAGCCACGAAGCACAGGTAGGTTCCGTCAACCCTGAGGAAATGGTACGACTAGGATGAACTCAACATGCTCACAGAGCATAGACCATATAGACTTTCCTGTTCCAGCTCTTTGCGCTGACGGTGCTACATTCTCTCACCCGGATCTCCGAAAGAAAACAGCCTGAAACCTGGATAACCCTAAATTCCAAGGCCCCAAAGCAACAAACCGAGGTACGTTCTTCTACGTCTTCCCTAAGCGCCGGGCCACAGATGAGTACAGAGTTCATCCAGCAGCTTGAGGACAAGCCATGGGCCCAATAATTCTACTGTTCACCCCGCAGATGGGAAAATCAAGGCTTGAGGTGTGGAAAATTTGGCTTCGGGGTTCAAGGGTTTAGGGTTTGGGGCCTTAGGGGCCTTAGGGGTTTAGGGGTTTAGGGGTTTAGGGTTCAGCGCTCAGGGCTTAGAGTTTAGTTTAGGGATCACAGTTTGTTAGACTCGGATTGAAAGTGCAAGGGCCAGCACCTTGTCTGCCTAGTTCGGTTTCGATCAGCTTGGGTGGCACGGCAAAAAGCAAGAGGAATGCGAAATCCGATCTTACTGATGCATTGAAAAGGAATCTGTTCTTCTCGTGAAGAGTATCCAGGACCACGGTATGAAAGTATGATTCCCTCTCTAAACAAGGATGCACAAAATGCCTGACCGTCAGATGCTTGCATGGTATGAGCAAGAAACAGCAGGCGCAAAAGGAGAGCGGCGCAGCTTGTGCAAGGAGACTGCGATGATCCGGGACAGTGCCGTTGACTTTCACAAGCGTGGTAGGTTGAGGGTCAGGGATCTAGAAAAGCTCACTTTGACCGGAAACGCCCCTCGGAACCGCAACCCAAGCCGTTGCACTTATAAGACCCAGGTGCCAGAACTTCAAGATGACACATGAGTCACGTGAGCCACTCGCACCATGGCTTCAGCTTTTTCTCGCGGGCTTTTCTGTGCGTCAGTGCTTTCCTGGGACAGGGAGGAAGTCGCCTACCACTGTGGGGTTTCAGGCTTGCGTTGTAAAGGACGCATGATGCACTGTAGCTGGTCTTCTTCCAGTGGCGTTCTCAAAACTGCGATTCTTCATTGGCCTTGCTGATACAGACACTACTCGTATATGCTTGCTTTCGCCGGTTGTCCCACCAAGTCGGAGCATCGGGCAACTTCGGCGAACTTGGAAGGGATGCTGCTTCTCCTAATGTTATTGCACGTTCGATGGCAGTGGAGACATCGACGACGGAAGTCGCTGAAGCGATGTGCACAATGGGGAAGGCGATGACAAAGTGTTCGCGAAAGAGTCATGGAGCAGGAGGAGGAGGAAAGAGGAGGAGGAGGAGGAGGAGGACGAGGACGAGGAGGAAATGAGGAGGAGGAGGAGGAGGAGGACGATGACGAGGAGGAAATGAGGAGGAGGGGAACCGAAGGATTGCGCTTCAGGGTCGAGGTCGTGAATGTGACTATACCAGTGAGCGTATGGACCAGCGGAGAATGATATTATGATGGTGCTGATGACAATGCTGCGACTAGCCAGCAGAAAGAACAGAACTTGCCGTGGTATTGGTGGCCAGTTTTATCGTCACAACCACATAGGACTATTGCTGCTGCTGCTCCTATTCCTGCACCTGCTTCTGCTGCTACCTGATCTGCCGGTACTGCCACAACTACCACAAGGACACGTGCGAATGGCAATCTCCACATAGACATAGCCAAGTCTGAGCACAGGGCCGCCCACCCATCGACCACGCGTGCTCTTCGCACGCTTCGACTCCTGCAAGAGGGTCCGACTCTTGAACAAATGCAACAAAGACGGCCAGGACACGAATGGTCGGTAGACTGAATAGGTGGTAGCGACTGCAATGAAGCGGAAGATGATGATGCCAATGGTGGTGGTGAATTATGACAGCGCTGGCGGTGGCTGTGGGGGGTGGGGGTGACAGCGGTCTGACAATCTTGACTAGAGTGCCGAGCAAGGATGGCTACGCAGCTATAGCGCTTGTGTTCGTCCCTTGACTGCTTCCCTTTCCCCCGTTGCTTCGTCTGCTTTCAGATCCTAGGTCTCTCGCCAACAGAGTACCCTTGGCGACAAAGCTCAAATCGGAGAGCGCACTGAGGCCCGCAACTTACAAACTTCAATCTAAGGGCCCGCGGCCTATGGGGTCAGGTTCAGGCATGACTCTTCAAAGCAAAAACGCTCGAAGTGCGAAGCCCCGGCTGCAAGCTCCCACAAACGAAGCCGGCCCCCAGCCCTAGGCACATCGGCTGATGCTCTTTAACCTTGGAGTAGCGCCGGAGTTCGAAGCCAGTAGACTTACCTTTGGTTAGTAGGGAATGGAAGAATGGTAGTAATAGTAGTTATAATTGTACCCCATTCCTCCATTCCCTACTAACCAAACGCTCTTTAACTAGGGTTATAATTAAGGTAACTATATTCTTATAATTACTTATAACCCCGATTAAGGTCAGTAGATGCAAAGCCCGGGGCGCCTCGTCGGCCTCGTCAATCTGCATTCGAGTGCAGCCGACGCCACCCGCCTTTGTGGACTCGCCCTCCTTTCCGGTGGGCAGACTGAGCACTTGCAGCTTGGGAAACGAGGCTTTGTTCCTCGGTGCTAAGATTTTCAGCTTTAAGCAAGAGAAGGCAGAGGTCCACGAATCGACAGCCAGCCACCTCAACTTTCCATCAACTCCTGGGGCTGCAATCCGCCCAAAAGTAGGTGACTACAAAAAAACGTACTTCAACCCACTGTAGGTTGTTGGCACGGAGCCTTCAGGCACTTAATCTGTAGCATTAGCCGACCGTGCGGCGTGCAGCTGACCTGCTGCTGCACAGGCCGGTTTTGGTTTAAGGGTTCAGGATGTAAGTTGCAAGTTACAATGATATGGACTAAGGTTTAGAGGTTTAGAGTCCAGGGTTTGGGGAGATTTCGGACCAGTGCTGATTGGGGCATTGCGGGCCTCGTATCCCGGAACAGCACGTGCAACGCTCACACCTGATTGTTAAAGGCAACCTGAACCTGACTGCAAGGCCCCAAGATCGAGATCACAATTCCGAAACAAAGCCTCAACCAGCAGGCAAGCATCAGGTCTCCTTGAGGCTGTCCCGGATGGATTTGACCTGCGGCAACTCTGCGCCCAACTTCGTAGTTTAAGGTTTGAATGTTCGGTGTATGGGTGGAAACGGCCCTGTGCCTCCTTTTCCAACTCCTCCATCGCAACCTTCTGCTTCTCGTGGCTTGTGTTGGCGTACCTGCACTCGAAGCTCAATGAGGTTTGAAGGAATAGTGAGCAAGCAGTGGCTATATATGACAATGATAAGCCAACGACTTTAGAGATGGCTTTCATCTGGACAGTCGTGACAAAGGAAGTGCCGGTGCCCATCTGTATTATGTATATAAATATATACATACAACAATACGACCGTGAGCGGAACCACAAAAAACGCACCAGCCGGCAGCACCGCCGGTAGCAGTGCAAACACAACGACGAACAATTTCATCTCCTTCAGGTTCTTCTTCTGTAGTATACCTGTAATTCCGACTGCTGCAATTCGGCTCTTCCACCTGCTGCTGCCGGTGCTGTGGCTGCGGATTAAGTACGACTTCTGCTGCAGCGACGGCTACAACAACGACGGCTGACAAGGTCTTAACACTGTGATAGAACTGATAGTGGCCTATGCATTTTCCGACTCGGGATGAAGCGATACTGCGCACCACTACAGTGAACAGAAACGAGTAGAATCGAACAACTTTAGCCGGCAAGAAGATGCTTGCAAGCAGCCGATCCACAGTTACGTTCTGAAAACAATCCATCGCTCTTGAAAACGTACCGCAAGAGCACGCAAACGGTGCTGCGGCTGCCACAGCAACTGGGCGAAACCGCCTTGAACCTTTCAAGCTGACTACACAACGACTCGAGCCCGAGACCCAAACTCTAAGAGTGGTATCAAAGCCCAAACCCCTGCGCCCAAACCTCTGAACCCAAACTAGGCTAAAGCACTCAAGCCCTTCCTGCAACCCCTACACCCTTAATCCCTAGACCTCGAACACATGAAGACTGAGACTTTGTGGTAACTCGAAGACATCAGGCTCACGCGACTGCTCCATCAAGCCTGATCTCCAGGGTTTTTTCGGGGCGTTTTGGTGGTTTAGGTTCGTCGGGGTTTCGCGCTTCGGGGCTGTCCGGTGTGGGCTTTCGAGGCAAGGCTTCCGGGATGTAGGTTCAGTTCAACGCGTCATGAAGGCTGAAGGTCTTTTGTGGAGATTTGGGGTTTAAAGGGTCGTGGGATTGGGGTCACAGTGTGGGTTTTGCTATAGCATCAAACTCGAAGTTCACGATGTGGGAGTTTCCGAAAATAGGGGACCCTAATATAGTACCCTACATAGTAGGATGCTTGTTATAAGGACCCCAAAATAAGGTACCCCTAATTTTCGGAAACTCCCAGGTGCATTTTTTGGAGCTTCCCTGGGCTTCATGGCTTCCAGTCTTCTGCAGCCAGGCTTTTCAAGGGGGGCCGCCGGGGGAGTCTGGAAGCCGAGGCTCGTGGGGGTTTAGGGTTCAGGGGATCCATGTCTCGATGGGCGCTCAAGATGGAGTCACGCAGTCTGGGACATCGCCATGGTTGAGGTTTTGGAGGCATTGGCAAAAGGTTAGCTACGAAGTTAGCCTATTCTGCTCATTGGGGGCTCTGAGAAACCTTCCACTTCCCGGTGCCTTCGACAAGCAAGGTTTTCCGGCACTTTCGAAAGGCTCGTTCGGGAACTTTTACCCTCAACCCCTATGACAAGGGTTCCCGGAGCCTTAATCTCCAAGTGCCCTAGACCCTCAAGGCCCCAAACCCTAAACCCTTAAACCCTGAAGGCCCTAAATGCCCCAAGCCTTACCCTCTGTTAGCCCAGGAGCGCTTGGATCATGCCCTGGGCGGACTGCTGCCAATTGCTCAGGGTCTCGATGATGTAGTCAATGTCCTCGGGTTTCGGGGGACCCTAAACCCTGAACCCTGCAGTTGGCAGTTTCGGGGTTTGTGGGTTTTGGGACTTGATTTGTGTTTTTTGAGGTTGGGCTTTTGGGTCCGGTGTTTCGGGTGTAGCGGACTTAGCCGGTGCAGCTTCCAAATCCTGTTCGTGGCCTTCGTCGTCCTCCTTCTTCTCCTCATATCATCACCTCGATTCTTCTCGCTGCCTCCTCAGGGTCAACCTTCAAACTTCTCTAATTCGCATTGTGATGCTTGCCTTAATTTCCCAGCAGGGGGTGGTTGTGCCTTCGAATGACATATGCTAAGTTTGCATAGTCAGGGACCTATGACCTATGACCTATAAACCTCATGCCGGATGAAGCTGCCTACCCACAAACCTGTGTTTCACCCATGTTTTGACTCAGTGACCTACATACGTCTTTTACCTGTATTACCTCTGTATACGCATATGTGCGTATATATATATATATATATATTACATATATACATTAGTTAGTTAATGATTACGTAACTAATGCATTATTGCTATGATCATGTATGTTCATTGCTTCATATATCCAAGTACAGATGTATTCAGATACTTCAAAGCAGCCTGTCCTCGTAATCTACAGCAAAGCCAAGACGTTCGCTCCTCGTCCCTGCAATCTCTGCATGCGCAGGAGTCGACGAGAACGCACTGATTTTCCTGGAAAACGAGGGACCCTTAATGGGGACCCCTACCCTATAATGGGCTATATAATGGGTATATAATGGCTATATTATGGGTATATACCTGGCAGACGCCGATGGCCGGCAACCGGTAGCTCACCCACGAAACCATCTGATACCGTCACAACCCGAGCTCCCAAACCCGTCTTTGCGCCATTTTGTTAGGATGCAGTGTGGCGGGGGGGGGGGGGGGGGGGGGGGGGGGGGGGCCTGGCGTGGTGGCATTTTCAGTCGCATCATTGGGATAAGAGGCACTAATAATAATGAGAGGCTTGTCAGGGCTTGTAGCTGTCTCTTGCGACAGATAACTGAGGCGACTGTAGCCGCCGAAGAAATCCTAACCCGAAAGATCTAAACTAAACCTTCGCCAAGCGTAGAGGGAACGGGTGAAGAACTGAGAGTAACTAGCCAAACTCACCAGCTGTTGCCAGTCACAGCCATTCGCCCAACTCGAGCTGCATGAAACATTTAGCCCCGCCTGGTCCATCTTCGCAACCAAGAGATTCTGGTACACGGCCTGCATCACGGAAGGAGCTCAAATCAGGTTCCTGAAACCAAGGCCTTTAATTTCACGCTAGATTCCTAAATCACAACAGGATCCTGAATAGAAGGACCCCCTACTTCAGGTAAAGAGAGCTGGGCTCTTGAACTGAGACCTTTGCTCCTGTCCTGGGCCTCAGGGCTCTCATACAGGGGCCTTAATAATTTCAATTATGGGTTTTGGGCTCATTTATAGTATAACTTTCATAAGGACCCCCTAAAGAATACTATGGGTAATTACTTAGGTATATAGTATAACTTTAATAAGGACCCCTAAAGAATGATATTGGTAATTACTTAGGTACCCTATATTACCTCAAGAAGGAGGGCTCCAGGATGCGGGAAATCCGGGAAGGGAAAATTTTACTGCCACACTAAGACACGGGACTTAGTAACTAGGGTTATAATTAGGGAAACTATACTTATAGCTACTTATAACCCCAATTAAGGTAGTAGCTCTAAGCATTCCCGGAACCTGACATCTCGGATCCGAAACCCACACATCCAAATTCCCCTGGACCTTACGAAGTAACCCTGAATCCAGGACACTGCTTCAAGGCCTGAACCTCGGAAGGCAAGAACCAAACCTCAGAACCTTCAAACCTACCAGACCCTAACAGCCGTAACCCGAAGCCCGAAATCCGCAACCCGCCCCTTTCAGTCGCCACGTGCCTCGTGTCGTCACAGTCCGCATGACCGACACTAAACTCACTGAACCCTAGACCCCAACCTAAGCCCCAAACTGAAACCCAATACCCAAAGACCATGTCCTTATACCCGATGATGCCCTATGCGAATTCGAAACCCCTCAACCCGAACCCCTCCGTCCTCGATCGTCAGGTCTTCGAGCTCACGCGTGCTGGACACATCCACGGCAGCCTCCGAGGGCGCCGAGAACTTATTCTTATTCTTATGCCTTTCCTTGTTCTCAGTCTTCTTATCGTCACTGTTGTTCTTATATGAGGGTTTTTGGGCTTTGGATTTTGGGGTCGGTCTTGAGGCTTTGGGGAGTGTGGGGTTTAGGGGCTTTGAAACGCCGGCATCGAGGACAGGAACCCAGGCCTCCAGGTCAGAGTATTTGAGGAGCTTGTCCTGGCTGTTTAGGGGTTTGGGGTTTAGGGGTTTAGGGTTTAGGGGTTTTGGGGTTAAGAAACTCAGGGGTTAAGGGTTTAGGGGTTTAGGGGCTGTGCTGATGGTCGGTTTAGGGTTGAGGGTGTGCAGGTCGATTCCGCGACCTTTTCCTGTGATCTTGTATTGACCGAACAATGCGGAACAACGTGGGGCCTGCAATACAACCGGCAAACCTGCTCTAAGTGTCAATAGTGCTAGCAGGGCCTCAGAATTCATACTCTCGAGTCATGTGCTGCGGTCTCGAGAATCACATCCTTCTACGCTATCTGGGAGTTGTGTTGGACAGTCTGTGCGGGCGCTTTTTCAGTGGTCTTCTCTGCGATTGTCATGGCTGGGGTCTTCGATGGCAGCACTACTAGTCTCAATAACAGTGACAATCCACGAGAAGCGTTGTGCAGAATCCCTACAAAAGAATCCACGGTGAGAGGGGTTGGGGTAGAGCCCCTGCACCCTGCGCCAGGTCCCGTGTGGCCATGGTGACCAGCGTGAGCCTCAAGAGTCGCACAGGAAGTTGATGGTTGTCGGGCTTCAGAACACCTCGAACCGAAATCGATCCTTGCTATAGATCCCCAAACCCAAGGCAAGGCTGGCTCCGAGCCTTGGGACTTAACTGCTCCATGCTCCAAGGCTTAAGCCTGCGAGGTGTACTAGACCACTGTGCGAGACTTAGGAAGCAAATCTGGACTCGGTGAGTATAAGTGCTACAGAGGCTTCGCTTTGGAGAGCCATCCAGGCTGCAGCCTTGTGATTTCTGGATAGAAGTCATCACGAGCTCGCAGCCCCAAAGCACTGTAGGGCTAACGGTGAACACCCCCTTTAGCCGTAAGGTCGTGAAAAAAGATCGATAATCAAACTCTAACACCCTCTCCACCAAAAAGCACCTAAGTCCCGGAGCCCCTTGCGGCCCCGGTGCAGCTGCAGCTTTCGCTTCTGCGCTGCCGTTAGCTCGCCGAGCTCGTTCTGTCGCGCCTGTTGCTTTAGGGCTCTGGGCTTTGGGACGTCAGGGAATTATCAATGTGTAGGTTCTGCAAAGGGTTTTTTGTTAAAAAAAAAAAAGGTGTTAAGCTTAACAAATGCATTGTAAGGGATATCAGGGTTGTATCGGGGCGCTATCAGGGCTTTTGTGCTAAAGCGCGCGATGGTGTTATGCAGGGCTATTTAGGGCTTTAGGGTTTTACGGCTCAGGGCTTGAGGCTACAGTGCCTGAGGACAACGGGAAGCAAGAAAATTCTGCGGTTGGGGCCACCTTGAAGCCTTCACAGAATTGCTGCTTGGCCTTGTAGTCGGGGTAAGTCCCGTAGGCGAAGAGGCGAAGAAGCTCCAGGGCGCGCTGGAACTCGCTTCCCTGGAGTGCCTGGCTACGTGGTTTAGGGTTTGGCAATATGCTAACCGTCACCGGTGGCTCGGATCTGGAATGAGACTATCTTCGAGACTGCCCGGCAACCACATTTCTGGGGCAGGCACATGTGTCTAGCTTCGGGTGGAGGGGATGGGTCCGGCTAGAGGGCCCTGGACCTTGATGCCAAGCAAAAGGTCCAAGGATTCTGGAGACGCCCACACAAATGTGAAAACACGAACTGCCCGAATCTCCGGAGTCAAACACATTTTTCTGCGGAACCTTCAAGGAAAAGCGCTCAAAACTCACTGAGCACCTTCATTCCATTCACCCAACCACCCGTCAGGCTGAAGCAACACAAAATGAAGCTGTGAAACGTTCTTGCCAAACGGCCCTAAATTTCAACCTGAGCCCTTCGCGCCAAAGAAGCCTACTGAATCCAAGACCTCAAGACCGCCCGGAGAGAGGCGCGAATGTACAAAACAACAGACCTATTATACCAACCAGCAAAGCCGGGGTCTACCCGAACGGTAATCCTAAAACTGCTTAGCCCTATATCGCCATATCCAACTACCCGGGATATTCAGGAAATGACCGATAGCATAAACCCTACTTATACTTAGCATCCTTGCAACATAAAACCCCCAAACCAGCTACCCTCTTTTAAGAAACCCGAGTGCGGAAACCCTTTATCAAACCAGATATGTGCACACAGCTAGCTAGTCTAGTCTCTGACCCAAACCCTAAGCCCCAAAAAGCTCCCAAAGCCCCTAAACCCTAAACCCTCCTAAAGCCCCCTGAGACCCTCCTAAACCCGACCTTGACATTGGGACAATCCAGGAGCTCCCCGAAAACGAAGACGGAGGAGTGATCGAGTGCTTGGCCGATCAAGGCCTCTTCGGGTCTTATAAGGGTTTAGGGGTTTAGGATTTAGGGGTTTAGGATTTAGGGGTTCAGGGTTTAGGGGTTTAGGATTTAGGGGTTTAGGATTTAGGGGTTCAGGGTTTAGGCTTTAGGATTTCGGGTTTAGTGCTTATAGGGTTCAGGGCTTGAATGGATTGGTGCTTTAGAATTAAGAGCTCTCTTTGGGTTTAGGATTAGGGCTTGCAGGTTTAGGACCTAGGATATAGAACCTGTACTTTAGGTTTAGGGCTTTGGGGCTTCGACCTGCAGGCTCCCGTAAGGCTTTGTCGTAAGGGCAGTGCAGGGCTTGATGGGTTCGAGGTTTCACAATCTGCTTGCATGGGACTACTAATAGAACAGAAACCCGGAACCGTTTTCATCGTAAGCCCCATTCCTTGAACCTGAAATCTGAAGATCCAGAAAAACGTAAGCCTTGAGCCTTGCACCCTACAATCCTCAGACTTCATCCCAAAACCTGGCAGCTCAAACCCCATATCCTGAGCCTATACAGCCTAAACCCTAATACCCACAACCCCCCCGAGCTTCTCGAGCGGCAAAGAGTGCTCATGCGGAGCCTAGTAGAGCCAGGCGACGGGAACCGCCATACATAGAATACCCCAAAGCCCTATTCTAGTGATTGAAGCCCTGTAGTACAAGCAGCTGCAAAAAGTTCTTGAGCTCGGCACCTCCAAAGCTCGACCCTGGGTCGTCTGCGCCAAGATCACCTGAAGCCAACACATGAAACACACGGCTTCGGTCACTACTACTGTATATGGGAGTTTCCGAAAATAGGGGACCCTAATAAAGTACCCTAAATAGTAGGATCCTTACTATAAGGACCCCAAAATAAGGCACCCCTATTTCCGGAAACTCCCATATGGTTTAGGGTTTCAGATTGAGTTAGAAGCCAGACAAGGTTTGGGCTGTGAAAGGCTAAGCACTCTGGGCTTTGTCCAGGGTTTAGGATTCTTACTATGGGTTGTGGCTAACGTCGTGGTTAGTGCTTTTGATTTATGGTTGTTCCTATTACCAGTATAATTGTGGCGGCAATTGGTCAGTATGTCGATGGCTGTGATTACCCTGCCAGGCAGTCTCGCTAGAGAACGCATGCAGGGTGCTGTCTTTGAAGCATTTCCAACTCCCGACAACTAAATCAACACGCTCTCTGGGCATCACACGAACTGACTCAGCGCGCTGGCTGAAGTCTCCATGGCCATCACAACTGAAACAACACCGACAGTCGCAGCACAAATCTGAATGATACTCGGATAACCTAACATACATCTCTCCTGGTGGCTTTTCTAGCTCGCAAAATGACAGAGGCACTGAGCGAGGGCATGGCGTTTTCCGGCTCCCCTCCTTCGAGCCAAGGTGCCAAGGCACAAGCGAGTGCATCCTGAGGCAAGAACACTTGAAATGCCAGCAGCTACATAGTACAATAAGAAAAGGTGGGTTGCCGTACCCGGGGCGCCTCTACAACAATCGCAACCCTGTCGCTGAACTAATGATGACCTCACAGGTGGAAGGCTTGGTTACACTTAGATTACATGACTTGCAAAGGGCAGTGCAGGAAGACAATCACTAAGAAAAACAGCGGAGGCTAAACATGTAACCAATATTGATGTCACCTACAAACAACAGCAACAGCACCACCACGACAATCAGCAGCGGCAGCAGCAACAGCGGCAACACCAGCAGCAGAAAAGGCAGCAACATCACTAACGGCAGCAACAGCAGCAACAGCAGCAGCAACAGCAACGGAAACAGCAGCAACAGCAGTAACGGCAGCCGCATCTGCAGACGCAGCAACAACAACAGCAGCAACAGCAACAGCAACAGCGGTAACAGGAGCAACAGGGCCAACAGCAGCAACAACAACACCAGCAGCATCACATGAACAAAACCAATGCAGAAAACAGCCAGCACCTGCACCAACCAGACCGAGGATGATGACAGCAATGACCACTGCGACAACGAAAATGTCGACAACAGCACCAGCACCACCGCGGAGCCGCTACCACAACAGAGCAGAGCCTGCAGTGGCATGCTAATCCATGCTATGCTCACATACGAGAGCTCCCTGCACATCAACATGAACCCGGCAAAATGCACTGATTCAAGTCAGTTGCTCTTGCTTCCGCTTGATGCCAGCAGAGGCCGACATGGCTTGCTGCTTGTAAATCCGATCAGTTCAGCCGGAAAAGCTGCACTACGCGCACAAGGTTCGAACCGGCACTTCAAAGTGACCGGCACGGCGATTGCATCACTCACCACTTGTCGGCCTTGTTGTAGACGTAGTTGGCCACGTCCTCGATGTCATCGGGGCCGAGCTTCTCACCGAAGGCCGGCATGGCGCCGTTGCCGTTGGTGACCTGGGTGATGATGGCCTGCACGTCGTACTTGCCGTACTGCACCAGGGCCTCCTTCTTCCTGAGCCACAGCTTGATTCTATGGAGCTACATACGGAATTTTGGCAAGTGTGGGCTTACGCCCAGGCATAGTCATGAGCCATACCGGTATAGTTTATAGGATAAGTGCTTATGCAGTGCTGTTTTACTCTTAGTCGTTTACGACTAGTCTTACGCCTACGTTGTTGTTCGTCACACACACTCAGTTCTGATTTCAGCGCCGCGCAGCTTGTGTCCAGCTCTTTGTGACCCTGGTAGTAACGCTTACAGAACTACAGAGTGTAAGCCTTGAGCCGCAGCTTCCCCTTGCAAGTGCCTTGTGGCAAACGCCAGTTAAGACCTACAAAGTGGCCAACATCGGACGCCACTCCTTGCATGCAGGGCTGAAGGAGAACTGGCAAAGCCAGATGCCACCGTGCAACCGAGCTTCAGCTTCTTCTCGGCCACGATGCTGTTGTTCCCGCCGGCATGGCAGGCGGTGCAGTTGCCGTTGAAGATGGCCTCGCCGTTCTCGAGGTCCGCGGCCAAAGCCGGACGGCTGCCCACCACTGCGGCCAGCAAGCCGAGGGCGGCACCCAGGGCAAGCGGGCTGAAGGCCGCGGTCGTGGACTCCGCCTCCGGCGCCGCAGCGCCCGCCGAGCGGCCGGTGGAGACCTGCACCTCCGGGGCGCTGCTTGGAGTGCTGCCCGGCAGCACGAAGCAGCTGGCGCCCAGGAGCAGGACGGCACCGGCGACGAAGGCGACACGGGACATCTTCAGAGATTGAAGAAGGCGAGGTGACCGAGACAGTGAACTGCGGGCCAAAAACCTGTCGTCACGCGTCTAGATGCTGTGCAAAGGTCTGTAGTCTGTCTCCAAAGCACCACTGACCTGGCACAGTAGCACTTTTTTGGTCGCATGCACTCCGTCATCCCTGGTGATCCTGAGTCAGATCAGGCCATGCACAGCTTTACACGCTCCTGGCTCAACTAAAGCCTTGGAAGAGAGCTTCTGCAATACTCGACCGTCCGAACCTTCCAACATATGCTGCTTCTGCATTTGTCTAGAGGCCACTTCGTCACTGTAGTCTTGAATGATCAGGGAGCGGAGACCCAAGACGCCAAGCACAGGCACAAAACAAAGGCAACCAGCGCGCAATCCCGAAAGCAAACCCTGCAGACTTTCAAAGATCCCTGTCGGGTCAAGGCCAGCCGGAGCTGAAAAAAACATTTTTCAGACCCGGTGATAATATGACATAATCTACCATTTTATAATATATTGTATTACAATACACTATAATACGTTGTATCATATTGTTCACATATAACGTGTACACACACATACATACATATATATAAAGACGTACCATTTTTCCGGACTCTCCCAAACAGTTGCCGAAGGCATGGCACGTGGGTTCAGACCAGACTGAGAGTGTTCGTCATGTCGCCCCATGTGTTTATCGACGTCTATCAATGTCCATGATTGAACGGTCGCTCTCAAATGCTCGCACACGAAGAGTCTTCTCCTACCCAAACTTCGCGACATCGAAAAGAAACGACTGAAACGCAGGCCCGAACATCGTCATCCAAGGCAAAGGCCCCAAAGACGGCACCAAGCTAAACAGAAGGCATTCGAACGCAAACGGGGACTCAAACCAAGGGTGCTATGAGTCAACCTCGTCCGGCTGATCCTGGGACCCACCAAGTTACAGGAACAACAAAGACAAAGTCGATGTGCCAGCGAAAATGTACCCAGTCGCAAGGACCAGAGCAGGATTTGAGTGTCCGGCAGCCAACGATACTCGCACAGGCAGGTCAACATGACGGGACTCCAGGATGTAGAAGATCTTCAGATCACGTACATACGCGTGCGGTCACGACTCCCAACCACGTTTCTTCGTGAGAACGCTCTTGCTAAACCTCTGGTTCTCTTGCAAGGTGCTGCCAGTCCACTTCAGCAAGTTGTCCTCTCACTGAGACCTACAGGAATTGAAAGCTGACCTTCATGTATCGAAATGTAAGGCCGCCTGGTGCCTTGGAATTTGAGGACCACGTGCCGATATGCGACCATGGAGCCAGGGAGCTTGTGCGAAGGGTGCAGCATGGCTCATTAGGTTTCGAGTATACTCTGGTTTTTAAGGAATCTAGGGGGAATATTTCGAATATCTATTCCTATTCTAGTATATGTTTTTGGAGACTCTAAGGGAATCTTGCTGATAACTATTCCGACGACCCTTGATCCTCTTGGGGCTCGTCTTCGGGTTCAGGGCGCTCCCGGGCTCCCCCGGGCTAGAGAACCTTTGGCTACGGTTTAGGGTTTAGGGTTTAGGGTTTAGGGTTTAGGGTTTAGGGTTTAGGGTTTAGGGTTTAGGGTTTAGGGTTTAGGGTTTGGATAGAAAGGGTCCCCTAACCCCCGGTTCGGTGATCTCCCTGGTGCTTAGTGATGGGGGAATGGATTTTTGTAGTAGCCCTTATTAGAAAGTAGATCCACTAATTTGGGGCCCTATACTACTAAGGGTACTTTATAGGAACCCCCATTACGGGTATAATCCCCAATGTCGTTAAAGGGCCCAGAAGACTGGCAGCAGCGCCAGATTGCTGTAGTGCCCCAGTGTGCAACGACACACGTCCCGCTTTGCCCCGCTTCGAACATTGCGATTGCTGGTGGATCTCCCGGCTGGCATCGCCGACAGCGGGCGCGCAGAGCCCAGGCCCGAAGAGTCCTACACCAAGGTCTCAGGCCTTCAAATCGCCAGTGCCTGCTCCTGGCAAACCACCACGCCACTGGTGTTGAACAGAGCAGACGGCTACAGCGCATGGTTCGGGGAAAAGGGAAACATCACCGCGGTGAATCTCAATATCCGCCATGGCGCGAGGACTCGGAGTACATCGATCGGTCGCATGGGTCATATTCGTTATGGCCTGGAGCGTGGCGGTCACCAAAGGCAAAGGCCAAGGGGAAGAACCGACCCCAACCGGATCGCCAACCGAAGGCCCAGTTCCCGCACTACGATGCTGGGTGGCACGAAGCACCCGGCATAACCGAAGTGATGACCACCAAGACTTTGGCGACCCCCCAGACAGGTGGTTTGGTGAAAGATGTACAAGCGGCCATCAATGTGGCCAGACGCTGGGACTCCAAAATTGCCAAGCTCAAGTCCGAAGCCCTCAAGCGATCGCAGAAATGGAGCGAATATGTTGCATCTGTGCAACAGTCCCTGGCAAAAGAGAAAGCTCGCCACGAAGCCGACCAGAAGAGACTCTCCGAGAGAAGCCACACAGCACCAGGCAACGGCCTATATGCAAGTCAGGTATGCGGCAGTACAGGACCAGACGAAAGCAGAGTCTGCCGCCGGACCTGGTGCTTTGGCGAACCTGGAAGCCCAGCTTGCAGCAGAGGTCACTGCGCCTATGGACATAACGGAGCCCGTGGAAGTTCTAGACGACGCAGAATTGGCACAGGACCTTGCCCGCATCATGCAGGCGACTTCGGCCTTGGCTCCTGCTGCCCCTCCGCCTGGACTAGTACACCCAGCAGCTTCGTCGGGACAACCGTCACCACCGACGCCAAGAACGCCCAGGACCACCTCTACTATGGCCTCGGTGGCTGGTACACCACCTCCACCCTGCACGGATCCTTACATGTCCTCGCCGAGCTTAGCACATTTTGGGTCGACTATGCCGATGATGATGGCATCTCCAGCTGGTGGTCTCCCACTCACACCGGTTGCTGTCGAGGGCATCAAGCAGACCAGTGCTCCAGAACCCGTCGGAGTGCCCACGCCAGAACCGGCCCAGGCCTCCCCGCTGCAGGAACAGCTCAAGGCGAGGAGACAGGCAGCCAGACTTGCTACTGCTCCGTTTGGCATCCCCGCCAAGGCTGTCAGGCAGGTGGAGACCACGCTCGAGGCTGCCCCGACTCAGCCCCTTCCGGACCAGACTCGGACTCCCACTGGCTTGCTAGACGACGACCTCGAAGAGCTGGCCGCTGCCGGCACAGGTCCCCCTTCTCCCGGTTTTGGCAACATGGAGTGATGAGAGGACCTGATAAGCATGGGATCCATAGTCGTAGCACGGACTGCTCCCTCCTCGAGAGCCCGCGTGCTGACTTGACGGAGCGACTTTTGAGTTCGACTCGGTCAGGCAGAATGCCGTGGAAGGGAACATGTTCGTACGCCGACTTGGATGTCCCTCCTGGGCTGATCTCCTCATGCGTGAAAGCATGTACAGCAGCTGATTTTGTAGATAGGGATCTAGTTGTCTTCTGTACAGTTCCCAGATCCCTCCACCGACCTGCTGCACTTCATCTTCGTCCCTCGCCGTGGATTTTGTTGTCCTCGGCCACCAGTGTTCCAGCTTGGTTTTTGAACACTGGAGGCCCCCGCCATGATGCACAGCCTCACCAGTTTTGCCAAAGCCATCTCCCAGCCAGCCACCAAGGCGCCTGCTCTTTTGGCAGCCGTGGCTTCATTGGCTTTGTTTGCGCGCCCTCGGCGGAGACCACTGAATGGTCCGCTTTTGCACTGAGGAATGGACCCTCTTTCAATGCTCGAGCGCTAAATAGCCGCATCGGTAGCTCTGGGGCGGCAGCCGAGCTTTTTGTCCTTGCAATCACTGCGGATCCGTGCCTTCCGCTCCCCGCAGATGCTGGTAGTTGTCACACACCGGCCTTGCTAGCCTTGTACGTCCGTGCCATCGGCACGTGCTGTTACATGCTAGACAGTTTTGCATTCCTCCTTTTGTTGCCTTTTGCTCGGAGCCTCTCCTTTTTGCTCCTTCTTGCACTACTGCGACTGCTGTTCTTTGGCAGGCATGCTGTGCGAGCATCGAGTCGAGACCATTGCCGCTCCACGTTTACAGGCACCTCTTTTTGCATTGTCAGGAACTTGCAAGTTGGCACATGTAAGGTTCCAATTCTCTCCTGGGCACAGTGGAGAGATAGAAAAGGCCGCATATGCCGCGGACGCCAGCGCCCAGCACGATTGCAACATCACTCTTTTATGTTTCGATGCATTCAGCTGCTCGCTGGTTTTCTTGCATTTCCCACTTTGCCTGTGTGGCCCGCCCTTCATCCTGTTGGCCTTTCCTTTTGGGTTTTAGGTCCCACCGGGTGTCAGGGTATGGTTAGAGCCGGTGTCCCAGAAGAACCTGAGGCCCTAGAGGCCGCAGCTGTAAATCGATACATGCCCTACATTCAACCAGTTGAAGATGTACACATGCCTGTGGGTCTTGGTGCGCCAACCCTCCCTCCCCACTACGAGCATGAGCCTTCCCCACCAGATACTAGGCTGTGTTTCGATCCGCTGCCCTGGCCTTCTCAGCAGGACCGGCTTGCCACCGATACCGATCAAGGAGGGGAGTGGCTAGGGGTCACAGTGTATACGCCTCATTATCACACTGTTTCCTTTGCCGTCCAGGTCGACAGTAGCCTGGACCCTGCCACTATCCTAGATCTTGTCCGACGGCGCTGCCCTTTACCACACAACAGGCTGTTCGACACCCTCCTCCCCACATTTCCACAACGGCACCCAGGCTATGCCACTTTCATTCGGTTTCCTAGCTTGGTGCGACACTGTGGGCTCAATGGCTCATGTGCCGTTGTGGTCGACGTGTCTCGAGTTGGTGGGCGGTATTTTGCAACCATCCTGCCTAGACAACTCGACTACAGTGCCCTTGTCAACTTCCTGCTGCCACTCACACATGATGTTGACGACCCACTCCTCATCTTCGTAGGCTGCAGAGCACATCCATGGCCTAGCCATGCGTCCGTTGACC